AGGAGCGAATATTGAAAAGGGCTGTGCAATCGTACGCCAATAGAGCAGATACATTCCGAATGACAGTCAACAGAAACGGGAAACAGTAACGCACACGGGATGGACCTTCATCTGTCTTTATGAATTCTCACAATTTTGTTCTGACTTGTTCAAGCAATTCCTAAACATGTGCAGCGATGTTGAATTAGACAACCCAGGGCTTCATGGTGCAGACACGACGGTCGAGGTAGCCCAACCTGAGTGTACTCACAGAATTTAAAAACACCCCACTCACATTTGTCAAATCAAACAAGAAAGGTAGTGCATTTTTAAATTTCATGAGTTGGACATAGTTTCAGATTTATCTGGTTTCATGTTTTATTTAGACAATGCTACAAACTTTAAACTGATGTTTTAGACCCATTACTTGATGTTTGAGGTCTGATGTCCAATTCTTGGCACCTCAAACTTAATGTCATGTGAACTATTCTAGAAATGATCTTTTGTCTGAGACATGAATGAATGATGTGATGGAAAATGCTACGTACTTTATATGGTTTCATGCTTCGTTCTAGCATGAGATTGATCTCTTTTCTCTCTACGTTTGTCATTATAGAAACAGAGAGACGCAAAGACATCGCCTCATCACAGATGTCAGCAGTGTGACAAAGCCTTCCTATCACAAGGTGATCTAATGAGTCATCTGAGAGTTCACACTGGAGAGAAACCGTACATCTGTGACAGGTGTGGAAAAACATTTTCACAGAAGAGTAGCCTAAGTCATCATCATCAACATATTCATACTACAAGGAAACCATACAACTGTGACCTCTGTGGAAAAAGTTTCACTTGGAAGAGTTCCTTAAATGAGCATCGACAAATTCATACAGGACAGAAATATAGCTGTGACCACTGTGGGAAAACATTTACTAAGAAGAATAACCTGAACCGTCATCAACAAATTCATACTACAGAGAAATTATACAGCTGTGACTTCTGTGGAAAGGGTTTCACTTGGAAGAGTTCCTTAAATGAGCATCGACAAATTCATACAGGAGAAAAACCATACAGCTGTGATGATTGTGGAAAAGCCTTTACTCAAAAGGGTAATTTAAACACACATAAACAAATTCACACGGGAGAGAAACCATACAGCTGTGACCGGTGTGGAAAAACATTTTCACAGAAGAATCACCTAAACCGTCATCAACAAATTCATACTGGAGAGCAACCATACAGCTGTGACCTCTGTGGAAAAGGTTTCACTTGGAAGAGTTCCTTAAATAATCATCGCCAAATTCATTCAGGAGAAAAACCATACAGCTGTGATCTCTGTGGAAAATGTTTCACTCAGAAGAGTTCTTGGAAGAGTTCCATAAATGATCATTGCCAAATTCATACAGGAGAGAAACCATACAGCTGTGATTGTTGTGGAAAAACTCTTCCAACTCACCAATTGCTCTAACCATCAGAGTTAACTTTGGGGGTTCAGCGTCTTGCTCACAGACACTTTGACATGTGGACTGCAGGCACCGTGATTCGACCCTCCAACCCTCCGGTGGAGGTGGACTGCTGAAGGACAAAGGACATTTTTTTGAGTACAGTGAAGTCCAGATCCTCTCCAGAGAACATCACTGGTTTGAGAGAGCAGTCAAGGAAGCTATTTTTGTCCAAATAGAACACCCCTCGCTAAATAGGGGTGGTGGACTAAGACACAACTTGTCATCCTTCTACAACTCTGTTTTGAGATTTCTGCCCAAAGATTCTCCCACCAGGACAAATTGGTCCACAGGTGAGGGTTCAAAGACGGCTAACGACGCTCACCTCTACTGGGCTATAATGACTCAGTTGTTAGGGGACATTATTGGCCATCAAAGGACTGAAACACCACCAATGGGGATACATATTTCTGGCTCAATGCCAGTCAGACAGGATTGATGAAGTCTCTTGGATGAGAGGTGAAACATCTTGGACCTAAAAACCTAGTCCAGTTGATTTTTTTTCTTTCTATGTGTTTTTCAGCTATTACCTGGATGACTGAGAATCTGCACAGACTTGCTTTTGTGAGAGAGCTCCAGCACCCAGCAAAAGAAAAAATGGAGAGAAACACTGGATACAAATCCATCAATGTGAAAGATTTCATACTTGTTGGGGAAATGCTTTGTTATGGTTTGTTTGAATGCTCAAGAAGATTTTATACATTTGTATGTGCAGGTGTTTTGTTTAAAAGCAGATGATGTAGTTACATTTGAGCTGATCCACATAGTTCTCACTAATACCAGACCACAAGTATGCAGAAGAGTTTGTGACGACACCTGGCTCTGTCTGGCAACATCAACACAAGACAGAGACTGATTATCATGGCTGGAATTCCTGAAATTAGCTAGAGCTGCCACAGTACCAACTTGCCTGTGTTAATAACCAACTTGGCGTTGTAAATAGGCTCAGCGGAGCCCGCCTCCCTGAGCATTACATTCATGCAACTGAATTGTATGTACTGAATGCTCCCTTGCTGCAACTATTAAAATAAATCAGCCTCTGTCTAGTCAGTCTGTTTGTTTATGCTAGAATCAGAATCTGCTTTCTTGGCCAGGTGTATAAGACACATGTACTCAGGTACATCGGCTCTCAATGTG